ATTCTATTCTATTTTAGCTTTTTTTTCCTTCAAATTTTTTATTTTATTTTATATAATTTATTATTTCATTTTATTCCATTCAGTTTTATTTTATTTGAATGTCATTATATTATTTTATTTTATTTTATTTTTCTTTTATTTTTTTATTTTATTCCTTTTTAATTTTGCAACTTATTTTATTTCATGTTACTTTCTTATTTTAATTTTTTTTAGACTAATTCATACTATTTTATATTAATCATTTATTTCATTTTATCCAATTTCATTTTATTTTAATTTCACTTTAATCTTATTTTATTTTTTAGAGTAATTTTATTTGTTTTATTTTAAAGTATTTAATTTAATTTTTATCTATTTCAATTATTTATTTCGTTTTATTTAAAATTTTTTGGTTTTGTTTTATTTTACCTTTTTTTATTTGATTTTATTACACTTTATCTTATTTTTATTTAAGTTATTTTATTTTATTTTCGATTGCTTAATATTTTTTTAGTTTTCCCTTTTCATTTCATTTTATTTTAGTTTAATTGATTTTATTTAATATTTTCATTTTATTTTGTTTTATTTTAGTTTATTTTATTTTTTTTTNATTATTTTATTTTATTTTGATTTTTTTTTATTTTATATTCTTTTATTTTGTTTTATTTTATTTGGTTTTATTTTTTGATCTTTTCAATTCATTATTTTATTTTATTTTAATTTCTTTGATTTTATTTAAATTGATTTAAATTTATTTATACTTAGTTAATTTTAGCAAAACTGAAACTCTAACTTAAATTTTTTTTTCCTTATTTTAGTATATAATTCATTTAAGGCTACGTCAATATATATGCTTGTTTGCGTGTATTTACTAAATTATTGCAACTTTTTTTCGTATTTATACTCGTATCTTATTTAAAATACTGTTAATATATATTCGTTAATATTTTCTGTTGCATTCACTATTTTTTATGGTTCTTTTCGCAGTTAATGTGTAATAGATTTTCCTTATTTTTTGTAATTGTTTTTTGTTTTTGTTGTTTTTTGTCTTATAATCAGATAAGAATTACGTGTGTTTCCCTATTTTTCTAATTAGCCTGATGGCGTATATAATCGAGTATAAATTTAATTAATTTTAATTTTTGAGATCTTGTGTATTTACTTGGAACTCAACCAGCTGATTTATTCAAAGCTCTTAATGTTGAATCGCAGTTTTTTTTAACAGTTCTAGGTTAATTGAAGTTTGAGATCATTTTTGGAAATATTAAAGAAGATATTAAATTTTTAATTTTTGAGTGTTAGTAAGAATGGAAAACTACTGAACGTAATTATGTAAATACGTCTATTTGTATGTGCATGGGAAATTTTATAGCAAGCAACCGAATATTTATTTTTAATTAATGCACTTTAAATATTGTGAAGAAATAAATTTAAAATATGAAAATCATTATACTTTAAGTGTTTCTATTTATTCGTATGTGTATGTGTTCAAAAATTTTCAAAAACGCTACATACACCTATTGTCTATTATGCAATACATATTTTATTCGTTTACAGACCTTGTACGATATGTTCTTTTGTTGTTTATTGTTTTAAATTTGTTGAATTGTATTTTTCAGTTTTAATTTTAGGTTTGATTTTAAATACTTTTTATTTAGTGTTTCAAATCTAAATTGCTATTTGTTTAATTTTTAGTGTGTATTTTGGTTTATTATCATTTTTATTTAATTTTCTTTCAGTTGTAAGTTTTTTTATTTAAAATAAAATGAAATTTTAATTCTTATGCAATAAAAGTAAAAATATAATTTTATATTATAATTAAAACTAAACTTTTATTACGTTTTTACTATGGCTAATTTTGTTTTATTTGTTAATTTATTTTCTTGCAATCATAAATATAGCGTTCAGAGTTCGTAAGATTTTTTTTGTGAGTTTCTATGAAATTGAAAAAAATATATAATATAAATTTATATTTTAGCTGATCTAGAATAGTTTCATCTAAACAATTGATATTACAATTATTAGTTAGTAGGGTTGAGAGCAGCAGTGAATTTTTTTAATGCATTTCTGAAGTGTTAAAAGTAATGGAACGATGTTTTTTACAAAAAATACGTGAATAAGAAGTCGTAAAAAAAAACAGAAAAAAAACAACAAAAATGTAAACAAATATTGGCTTCAACTTAAAAATATTAAAAAAATTAAAATTAAAAGTAGCGACATGATCCAAATATTCATGAGTAAAATAGGAAAATTTGAACAACAAGGGTCAGGATTCTATAGATTGTCATCGCAAGGGACGGTTAAAGCCTGGTGATCCAATGATTGAATGAAGAATTCTGTTTGAATCATACTTCAGAAAATTATTTTAAATTTTTATTAATTATCAATATAGATATTTAATTAACTTTTACTGAAATTTTTCGGTTAAATAAAAGTCTATTTAATAATATTTTTTTTTCAAATTTGGTAAACTATAAAGTATTTTTTTTTTTAATTTTTGGTAAATAACAGTTTATAAGAAAATAAAATTTCAATAGTACTTTTACAATAAATTAATTTTTTTAGCTAATTTTAGGCAATATAAATATTTATTTAATAACTTTCATTTTAAATTTTTGGTCAAATAAATAGTTCCAAATTTTTTTTTCTAATTTTTGTTTTTATTTTTTAGTATTTTGATAAATTTAATAGACCATAAATTTTTTTGCTGACTTTTGAATCAGTAAGAAGTAACTTAATTGATTTTTTATAATTCATGGTAAAATAAATAGTTAATTCTTTTGTTTAAAATTTGTTAAAATAAATAGTTAATTAATCCGTTTTATTTTTGGCGAATAAATGGTTAATAGTTAAATAATTTTTTTTCCAAATTTTGTTAAAATTTAAAATTAATTCAATTTTGTTTTTATTTTTTGGTTAAATAACTATTCAAATATAATATTTTGTCCTAATTTTTGATATAATAAACATTCAAATATTTTAATTTTTTAATTTTTCTTCAAATAATTAGTCAAATAATTTTTTTTTAATATTTGGTAACATGAATAGTAATTAATTTTATTTTTGATTATTGTTTAAAATTATTGTTGATAAATAGTAATTAATTTAATTTTTAATTTTTTATAAAATAAACAGTTAAAATATTTTAATTTTGATTTTTGTTCAAATAAATAATTGAATAATTTTTTTCTAATTTAATTGAAATAATTATTAATAAAGAGTAATTAATTTTGCTTTAAATTTTTTATAAAATAAACAAATAAATATTTTTATTATTGATTTTTGTTCAAATAAATAGTATAATAATTTTTTTTTAATTTTTGGTGAAATAAACTGTTAATTCAATTTTTCTTCTTAATTTTTGGTAAAATAAATATTATACTTTTTGTTTCTAAGTTTTGGTAAAATAAATAGTTAATTATTTTTAGTTTTAAATTTGGTTTAAAATAATTATTAATAAATAGTAATTAATTTCATTTTTGATTTTTGATAAAATAAATAGTTAAATATTTTTATTTTTTAATTTTGTTAAAATAAATAAATAAATAATTTTTTTCTAATATTTAGTAAATTAAAAAGTGATTAATTTTATTTTTGTTTCTTGATAAAATAAATAGTTTTTTAATTTTTTGTAAAATAAATAGTCAAATAATTTTTTTTCTGATTTGTGTTAAAAAAATAGTTTAATTATCTTCTTCTTAACTTTTAGTAAAATAAATATATAATTTCCTTTTTTATAAAATAAATAACGATTCAATTAATTTTCGGTAAATTAATAAATTAATTATTCTTTTTAAAATTTTGGAAATATAAATAATTAATATCTTTTAACGTTTGATTAAATATATAACATGGTAAAATAAAAAAAATTTAATTCAGTAAAAAAAATTAATATAAAATACACAATTGATTTGCATACTGAGATCAGTTGACTTACGCAGAGTTGTATAATTTTTTTTTAAATTAATTAAAAGCAATTTTAAAACTCTAAAATCTGTTTTTTTATAATATGTTATGTTTGTATGTTTTCAAAAAAAAAAAAAACTAGAAAATATTTAAATAATATTACATGTAAGCAATTTACAGCAAGGAAACCACTATTGGTGGACTAGAAATATTGCTCAATAAAATTTTTAAAATTGCTTTGCTATTTATATTACTTAATGGGTGCAAATTGTTTTTGTGTTTGTGTTTTTTTTTTTATTTAATAAAAAGAATTTGCCTTAATAACATTTAACCATAATTATTCTTTATTACATAGTATGTATGTAGGTCCAATAATACATAATAATGGCACCACAACATTTTCAAAAAGCCATAATTGTACAATATTTGAGTATTTAAAATATTTATTTTATGTCACATTTTTTGAATTTAAATTTTTATTCAAATTTTCAGCGCTTTTTAAACTGTACTGTACTGTTATGTAAGTGCATTTAAAACTTGTGTCATTGCTTTAGCTAAAAAAAAAAGTATTTATATGGAAAACTAAACTATAGTAGTTGCTCACAACAAAAACACTATTTTTTATAGGTTTAAAACTTATTGTTGTAATTAAATAAAATTAATAATTTTATATATTTGTTTTATAAAAATTCTACATGTGTTTATTAACTAACTTTTTTTTACTAATTTTTATATTATTTATTACTGTTTTTGTTCTTGTTTCTTTTAATGGTTTTGACTATGGCTTTACGCAAACTGCTATTAGGAGACTTTTACCTTCACTCTATGTATGCATTTGTGAGTATTTGTGTTTCTATATATGTATGTGTGTGTCTTTCTCGCTTGAAGATTAAAAAAAGAATGAAAATTAAGAGAAAAAATCATCTGTGAGTATACACAATGGAAGCGCGCTTCGAGGTTCTCTCTTGAGTATCTTGCACAATTCACAATTCTATTTAAATAATTTTATTCGCTTTTTGAGGCCAAACCGTTTTTTTTTCTATTTTTATGAATAACGCTATCTTAAGTATTTTCTTTATTTTTTTCCATAAGTTACAACGATTTTTTTCTTCAAAATCATATTTTTTCTTTTGTTTTTTTTTTTTTTGTTTTCTCCACCCACTCATTTTAATCGCACTTCGCTATTGCACGCTTGAAGATATCTTCGATTTTCTCCTTTGGCCCCTGCACAATTAGCATAAATTGTGATGGGAAATCCCAAATAATTGTGAAATGGAAAAGCATATTCGCAATGGCGATCACATATTCGAAGAAGGCGAACCAACTGAAGGCTGAATGGAAGGAAAAAAGAACATTTTGAAATATATATATATTGTAATTAAATGAATTAACATCGAAAGACACAGCCAACAGCAGACTTACCCAAATCATGACAGTAAAATCGATGTTTGGCAAAGAAGACCAACAAACCGACGGTGCTAAGTATGGACGTGATGAAGAGTATTCTCTTCCATTTGATAGACTCACGTTGCATGGGCAACAGTTTGCTTTCATCCTCGAAGAGTATTTCATGCAGTTTGATCGTGGCCAACATGTAGCAGAGTGAACAAACCATGAAGGTGATGAAGATTTTCTCGTGTATTGCTAAGAAGGCAAGAAGACAATTTTTCAGAAACTAACTTTAATTACAGAATACTCTTTAAAGGGTTAAATAATGAAAAAAGTTTGTTTTCTAAATTCTCCACAAATCTTAATAGAGCGATTCCTCGCCCAAAAGGCGTTGGAAGGATCATATTATTAATCCAGTGGAAGTAATTTTTCTAGGAAAGGACGCTAGGACTAAAAACCACAACTAGATCATCTCATAAACTAGACTAGGTAAAATATAACCTGTTAATTCAAGCCTGCCTTAAGCTAACCTAATCAAGCCAAATTAAATCTAACCTAGATTGGGAATGATGCAATTCCCTGAGCCTCACAGCGTCTTTTGCAGCAGTAGACCTAAATACTAGCAGTTTCTATAGGCGACCGGATTAAACGAGTAGTTAGTATTGCTTACTGCCTTTTGGAAGGTCTGGGCTTTCTCGGACAAATGAAGGCGAACATCCTTTATTGAGCAAAGGGATTCTATACCTTTTGGAGAATAAGAGAAATTCTTGTCTTTATTGAAACTTACGGTGAGACCCTTTTCTGGCCTACCAACTTGCTACCACATTTAGCTGGTTGTGCATGAGGTTTAGGAATCTACCTATGACCGTGAGCGTTACATTATCTGAGTAGAGGTCCACCTGGTAGCCATCATTGTCACGCCTTTTAGAGAATGCGGTGCATCACCCTGCGGCAGTCTTCTATTAACCCTGCACTAAAGCGTGAATTCCCACAATCCACTTCTGCAGTTCTGTGTCATAAAAAATTACAAATAAGACATATTATTTTCGAGCTCTACGATCTCGTGATTGCAACAAGAAGAAGAAGTCCTTAAGTCAAGAAAAGTCCCTACATGAAAATCACTAAAATGTAAGGCTTTCATCGACAATCCCGAGGCTCTCTACTCTTTATATAATATATAATACAATTCAATCAGTCTTCCGGCCTTCGGAATAAAAACCATCTGTACTCCACTCCAAGCTCTGCGAACGTACACCAGCAACACTGTAATCTGCAAAGGTTCTGACCATATGCCGAACATTCCCAAATAACTTGCTGCTCCCTTCGTCGTAGTGTATAAATCAGAATTAAACTGTGAAACTTATCAAATGCTCTCCAAAGCGAGCTCCTACCTCAGAAGTGAGCATTTCCTCATTATTTTTAATTTTAGTTGCTAAAAAGAATTATTACATCAACAAAATCGCTTCACTTACGATAATTCTCCCTATTCGAAATGTAGGTCACACCGCCCAACGATGATACTTCGATCAAATTCAAAACTAAAATTAATTTTATCATTAAATCCGCCTTCGGCACCAGGTGCGGTTGGCGCTGCTGCAGATTGCTCAACATGCTGCGGTAAAAATTCTTATACACAAAGGCGATGGGCAAGCGGGGTCCAATGTGTAAGGCAATACTCAGGCGCCAGAAGTAGCGTTGTGGACTCACGCCGGTAATGGCACTTATCGATGGTACAATGTTGTAGACCTAAAAATACAAGCAAAACGAAAGAGGAAAAAGAGAGAAAGTGAAGAGAGAGAATGAAACAAATTAGACAAACAACACATTAAATGTAATTGAAAAGTCATTAGCCAGCTAGCTAATGCGTTGAGCGGCAAATAAAAAAAAATACAAACGCCACATCATATACACATGTATTTAAGTACTTACACGGCAATGCGTTTCGTGCACATCATCATATTGGAAGACGTACGCGGTGACGAAACAGATGAATAATGTCACCAATGGAAGCAGTGCAGTCACCACACAAATCTGATGGAAGCTGGCCAAGTAGTAAACGGCTATCGGTAGCGCTGCCGACGTGGACGACGTTGATGGTGTCGATGGCAACGAAGACATAGTATTTGTGACTGCAGTGGCAGCGGCAGCGGCAGCGGCAGAGTCGGCTAGGGTCGATGTTGTTGGTAATTTAGCGCCTGTTGCGCAATACTGCACAAACACAGAAGCATAAATGATGAATGACAAATAGAGAAGAGAAAATAGAAGAAGAGTAATGAGAATGAGAGGTGGGAAAAAAACATTTTAAATTGTGCTCGCCGTAATTGCGGCAGTTAGCTATTATTAATGTCACTCATACGCCATGACAGACCGCCCCCTATACAACATTAGACACTGCGCTGTGCGATAAATGACAGGCTAGTACAGCAAAGAGCGTGCACACACAAAAAAAAAACAAAAAATAATAATAATAATAAAAATAAAAACAAAACATTGCAAAAAAACATAAATGCTTAAAGGAAAATCAATAGAAAGTAATAAATTACTTAAAAGCATCTCATGACAACTCATCAACGCTGTTGATAAAAAAGCAATTGTGGTCGTCAGCAAGTACCTTCACACACGTACAATACATACATACATACATATGTACATTTGTTCTCGTATTCATGACTACGTGCCAATTACTGAAAGGACGTAAGCGGCCGCATTTGAAGGATAAATAATTTGTGTGCTTTTTTAGTGGAAACACGCAAACGCAAAATTTTAGGTTATGTGGGTCGCTAACCAATAAATGAGATTTAGGCTTCATTTCAGCGTAAATTAATTTAGTTTTCGAAAGAAAAAGGATATTTGCAGAAATTTAAAATACTTTATTATTTTTATTTAGTTAAAAATTATTAAATTTAAATAAATAACCTCGCTTTTTACTATTTCAATAAGAAATGAAGTGTGAAGAAATTTTATTTATTTTAATGAAATAAAAATGATTAAATTTTCTATTTTTTTACTACTAATTAAAAAAATAATCTCACTTTTCTATGTCCATAACAAATTAAATTTAAAGAAAATCGGAGCTTATTTAAATGTTTTTAAATTAAATAAATATTATTAAATTTATTATTTTACTATTATTTAAAAAAAAAAGAAATAATAACCTCACTTTTTTATGTCAAAGAAAAAATTAATTTGCAGAAATTTAAAAGGAGTTATTTCTTTTATTTAAATAAACAATATTAAGTTTATTATATCCTAATATTTTATTACATAATTAATAAATAATTGGTATTCTTCGTATACATTTGTATTTTTACAGCTTGCAAAATACATTTTAATAAATGGAAATAGATGGCAATGGCTGATCTAATAATAGTTATGTGAAATTCGTTAGTAATGAATTTGAAACGTTAACATTGCGTGACATAAAATACAAACAACAAAAAATTATAGAGAAATAGCAATTGAATTAAAAAGCTCAAAATTGGATTAAGGTGCAGGTGTAGCCAAAATTTATGAGAAAATAAATTAAATTTATTTCAAATTTAAGTGCCGAACTAAAATTTGTATATATTTTATTTATATTTTCATTATTTTATGACCTAACATATGAGAACGGTATTAATGTGCTGCAATTATGTGAACAACGATAAATCCCAAAAGATCCAACAAAATTAAAATTAAGATTATATTAAAAATTAAGAAAATTAAAAAAAATTGAAATTAAAATTAAAATTGAAATTAAATTAAGTAAAAAAATTTTTAATTAAATTTCAAATCAAAATTATTATTATAATTAATATTATAATTAAAAATTAAATTAAGCATGTAATTAAACTTAAATAGAAACTAGGATCGTAATCAATATTACAATTATAAATAAAATTATAAATAAAGTTGTAAATAAAATGGAACATGTAATTAAAATTTAAAATGAAATTAACATTAAAATTGTAATTAAATTTAAAATAGAATCAAAATTCAAAATTAAGATTAAGATCAAAACTAAAATTCAAATTGAAATTAAAACTAAAACAAAAATTAACATAAAATAATAAATAAAAAATTAAACATTCAGAAAAATGTATATGAAATCTCATGTATATAAATTAAAAGTAAATACCAATCCGAATTCCTCTAAACCATGATTTTCACCACCACCACCACACTTACCAGCTGCTCATCCTTTAATTGCTCGTTCGCTTGCTGCGACAGCGATAATGTTGCCGTTAATTGCTTTGTATTACGCAAGATTGCACCGGTACTATCGCCAGCACCATCAGTTTTATCACTTAAATCTTGTAAGTCCTTACTGGACTCAACTTCAGCGCGCACCGCATACGACATTGTAAAATGATCGATCTCTCCTCGAAACGCAAAGAAAAACGAAGCACACACACCAAATTATGTATGTATGTATGTATGTACGTATTTACAAATTAATAAATAATACTGCACAACTTTACTAAGCGACACTAAACGCTTAACCGTGATAGTGGTGTAAAGCTTTTTATTCCTTAAATCGATTAGAGTCTGTTTCAAGTAGCCTTGTGCTAAATTCTCACTTTATTCTGCACATTCCACATGTTTGGCATTTTTATTTATAATTCACGTAAATAAATTCAATAAATATTGATTTTTTCGCGAAAATAAAATACGTTCGCACAAAGTCAAGCTAAAAGCTGTGTAGTCGCTGCTTTGTCGCTTTTTCAACTCTATGCGTGGGTGGTGTAAAACTGTTTGTACAGATATGCCATACATAGGTGTACATATATTTTATTTATTTAAATATGTATAGACTATTTCATAGGCTAGTTGTTGGTTGCACTCTCAATTTTAAGGATTAACTTCTTTCTCTACCTAACGGCATTGTAATTGTTTTATTTAATATATTATATTTGGTTAATTTTCCTTAATATTTTTTTTTTTTTGCAAATTCGATTTTTCCTTACAACCAATCACTTTCCGCTTCAGTCTTACACAATACACGGAAGCAGTGTTGCTTTGAGGATATGCTGCTGTTATGTCACTATGGATTTTCCTTTTCCACTTGATTCGCCATATTTGATTTGACATGTGAGTGGCGTTGTATTTGTACTCAGACTGGATAATGTAAACAAGAAGTCATGACCCTCTTTTTGGGTATGTGGATATGGACAAGAGTTTATGCTCCTTGACCGGTTATGTTCTAAAATACTTTTATACCTTTTCTAATTTATTATATTTACAGGGAGTCCCTAGATGATATGCTCAATTGGAGCACTTAATATCTCCGACTTTTCAAATGATGGTTCATTGCTTTTCAATGCAGTGTGGTTGTTGTAGTGGTTCAGGGCATTCCGCTGGATATTCGACGTGTCAAGTCCAGGAAAGTACTTAACTATGTCATCAATCTGATGAGCTTATGATGAGCCGGCTCTCCGTGAGCTGTGGGTCATGCTATATTTCTTTATCAAGCTTTCTAATCTGATATTATCCTCTTAGAACTTTTTTCGTGAAATATACCGTAATTTTTCAAAAAAAAAAAGTTAAAAAAATTTACAAATATTATATATAGAGTCCACCCTGTCTTTGTGTTGACCACTTACAGCACTGTAGAACTTCAATCAGCTGTTAACACTTGACAGCTGTCAAGAAACACCAGCAGCATCTCTGCTCACAATATTTCTTATGGGTTATGTCGTAATATTTTGATTTTTTTAACTCGTTAAAAATATAATTTTTAATTAATAGAACATCAAAGCTTACTGTAGACAATGTCTTCTTTGGTACGGCAAATTGCGCTCCTCAATCTTACGCAACGAAATCTCCTACAGAACTCAGTTAAACTTTTAGCGCCGGTAAGTAATAGTTTACACACGACTGCTGCGTTAAATGCCAAATGGAATAAAGCTAATCAAGGACCACGGAAATGGTTGGAATACAACAAAATAGTGCATCCACCACAAAAACCAGATGAAGAGCCACGGAAAGCGGTGAGTAATTTATACATTTTATGTTAATATTTGTAATGAAAAATTAAACAATTTCTTTTAGTATGTTTGTCATATGCGCACCAATATAAAATATAGTCCAGATAAAATGTGGTATATCGCCTCATTTGTGCGTGGCATGTCTGTCGACGAAGCAGTAAAACAATTGAGTTTTGTATTGAAAAAGGGAGCTACACACGTTAAAGAGGTGATATTAGAAGCTCAAGAAATGGCAGTGCGTCAGCATAATGTGGAATATAAGAGTAATTTATGGATAGGTGAGCAAAAGCACTTGGTATTTCAGGGGAAAATTATTAATTTCTTACTTGTTTGTTTTTTTTCAGCTGAATCCTTTGTGGGTAAGGGACGTTATTTTCGCGGTATACGTCGCCATGCACGCGGACGTCAAGGAAGAGTTGAGTACAAACATTGTCACTATTTCGTACGCCTAGAAGAAGGCCAACCACCAAAAGATTATTATCTGCCAGCGGCACAATCACCTGAACAACAATTGGAAAAATGGATTCAAGAAATGCGTAGCCGTAAGGTTATCAATTCCCTATAAAATGTCTGTTAAAAGACACAATAAAGTATGTGAATTAGTCAATTTGTATTTACTTTTTATTGAATAATCAATAGTAGGTGTTTTCAAATTAAAATATTTGTTTCCAAGCTATAATTACACCAAATACAATATATACATGTATATTAGGCATCTGTTACAACAGCAGTCATCAAATTTTCCAAGTCAACGGACTCATTCAACCTGGGCAACTTTGAGAGTGGTAAATCATCTTCACTTTCGAAATTACTTTCGCTTTGATCTTTGGCCAACAATCTACCAGCTATATCTAAGGCAGTTTCTTCACGTTCTCTAAGCAATTTGTCTAAATTCCTATCAACAGTTATACCGCTGAGCTTGGATAAATTCGACATAATAGACTGTCCAGCATCCTTACGCTTTTTACGTGATCCACTGCTCTTTTTTCGTTTCTGTGCGTTAGACTCTGTTTTTTCTGTTGCCATAGCACATTGGTCACGCTCTAAATGTTTGGCTAAATTCTGGCTACTACTGAAAACGCGCTCACAACCTTCAACTGTGCATTCAAAACGTTTTCCGTTATGAGCAACATTTATGTGTTGTTTAAGATTACGTTCATATGTATAACTGCGTTCACAAATTTCACATTTAAAAACCATTTTAAGCTCTTCGTCCATATGTTTGGCTGCTATATGTTTTTTTAATTCACTGGGTTTCGCATAGACACGTTCACAGTGCTCGCACTGGTAATACTTTCGTCCGTGCTGTTTCTCTTTGCAATGTTTAATGTAATTTGTCCACTTATCAAATTTCGAGTCACAGTCTAAGCAAATATATAACTTACAAGTTGGTACGTGACTATCATGCTGCCACTGCTGATAGAATCCCCGTGAGCACTTCTCACAACTGCGGAACAAAAGTGTATTTAAATTTAATATTTTACTCCGATTTTAAAGGGAACACTGCAACTTACGTGTACGGATATTTTCCGGTATGTTTCTGAATTTCATGCCTCCGCATTTTCAATTTTTGTGTGAATTTCTCTGAGCAATAAGAGCAGGGATAGATTTTAGGATTATCATGAACTTCACGGATATGACGCTGCATATTTGTATTAGTTTGAAACATTTTCAAGCAGCCTGGAATCTGACATGGTATTTTTTTCTCTGGTGGACCTACGCGTTCATGCGTTGTACGGATATGGCGTTTCAAATGTGTTAAAATTGAATAAACTTTATCGCAATCTTCATAAACGCAATAATGCTTTTTCTACAAAAAAAACTTATATTATTTAGCAAATAATATTAATAAGCAAATACAAATCTGTACATACGATTCCCGTGTGCTGATACTCATGTCGATCCATTTGGTCTTGCCGCTTAAAACTTTTGCCACAACCTTCAATGCTACAAAAATATTTGGGACCAGTGCTTTCCCTTCTGGTTTTGGTTGCATTTTTGAAGGAAATCACACTCTCCAAATCACTATCTGAATTTATTTGACTTCCAGGAGTCATTTTGGTGAAAATTTTCTCTAGATATTTATGTTTTTTGTTTACATATTAACTTCACGTGCCAGATGCAAATAACAATTTTTTGGCGTTTCGATTAAGTGTTGTAAAATGTTTCAAAACGAGAAATTAAACCAGGCCAACATTAAAAAACAGTACACTTTCCCAAAGTCGTATGCGTTCTTTGCTTTTGTTCTATCACAATTTACAAATATCGAAAAACATCTGTCTTCCTCTAAAGCAACTCTGTGTATTTTTATTTTTCAAAACATTTGCTAATTTTTCATTCCTAAGCTATTTGATTGAGAAACAAAATTACAATTAAAATTAATGAATAGTGTTAGTTAAGTCTTAAAATTTCAATTATCATATATTCTCCAAAATTGGTTAAAAATTGTTCATCAGAATGCTGAAAATAACTTATAAGAATATACAATCCTTTTGCCGGATATGTCTTGATGAGCTGGTCGAAAAATCAGTACTGTTTGGTGAGAAATATAACATTTACGAAAGCGAGGATATAGAAAAGCTCATAGCATTATGCTCTCCACAAACAATTGTGGAAGATCCTGATGATTTACCTCAGTTCATATGCTCCGATTGTAATATAAAATTAGAGGCTTTCCACGAATTCCGTTGCAAAGCTTTGCAGTCCTTTAACTTCTTGGCCAACATATTAAAAGATTATGACGATAAATCCGGAGATAATATTGTTTTGCTCGCCAACAGTCAAGGTAGTGAAGAGCAACTAGAGAATAGCGCCCAGACGTCTAAAATGGAATTCCAAAGTCCAACAAGAAGTGGAGAAAAACTTCAAAGCTCTATTGAAAATGTGGTCTGCTATCCTTTTTATCAAAGAGAAAGACATAATAATCCTTTTTTGTTGTTGTAGGTGGTGAAAGTTATGCAAGAGCCATCATCGATAAAATCCGTTAAAGAAATGTTTAAAAATGAAATATTTGTTGGTGAAGAAGTAGAAATTGATATAAAGGATATTAAAACAGATGACCATAAACGTTCCGACTGTGAAGATAGCATGGATGTATTCAAATTTTTGAAAACAGATCTGGGCACACATGATGAAGACGACAGAGTTGAAAATGGTGATATATCTGTACAAGCATTAGAAATACATGCGTCGTCGCAAAACAAAATTAAAAAGAGCACAAAAGCCTCGAAAAGGCTTATGAAATCAAACACAAAAGAAAAAACTTCTGACGCTGGTGGTTCACGATTTCATTGTCAAGAATGTTCTCGTCGCTTTGCCACAAAGGAAAATTTCGAAGCGCATTTACGCACTCATCAGGGACTAAAGCCATACGTTTGCAAGGAATGCAATCGCGACTTTAATAGAGTCGATCATTTTCATGCACACATGCGTGAAGTTCATGCTGCTGTGAAACTTCAATTTGTTTGCTCTTTTGAAGGCTGCGGCAAAATATTTACCCGTAGAAATACTTGCAGAGCCCACTATCGCCAGAAACATTCATTATTGCATACAAAGTATAAACCTAAAACATATGTTTGTGAGTACTGTGGCAGTACGTTCAAAAATGGGAACACATTTAAGAAACATTGCCACATACATGCACCAGTGGAAGATCCAGAAAGTGCAGAATATAGAGAAGGTGCAAAGCCAGCGTTTTTGACATTTCTGGCAGAAAACTTTCGTTTCGTGTAATTGTAATTTCTTTTTCGTCTTGAATTTTTGTTTCTCTTCGAGAGAATTAAAATATATGGGAATGTAAATTAACAACCGTTTTCAATTTCCTTTATCACATATAAATGACCAATTTAAATTCAATTTTGAAGTCACCGATTTAATCAATTACGTTTTCGACAAGCTTATTGGCAAGATCAGTATGAAGTAGCAACAGCTAATAAAAAAAATATTGAAATTACTAGAGGATCAACTACGCTCTTATGAACCGATAAAATAATAATAATACCGTTATAGAAAAAGAGTCATTTACTAAAAAAGGAAAATAAATATTTCTTAAAGGAGAAAAAAATTAAAGAAATGATGGTACTAAAATACAATGGTGTTCAACATCAATTTCAGATAAGTAGTAAAATATTTTTCTTGTGTTTGCGTGCGTAAGTCTGGGTTTCAAAATTTTCTGGAGCACAGTTTGATATTTCAGCTATTCATACAAAAGGAAATGAACATGTGTATATACAATTCCCGTGTGTTGATACTCACGCTAATCCAAATATTCCAAACTTTTAAAGCTTTTGACCCAAATTTCAATGCAACAGAAACATTTGGGACTAGTGCAATCACGCATTTTTGAAGAAAATTTATGTAAATTCCAGCTGACATTTTGTTGAAAATTACTTTATATATTTTTGATTTTTGTTTACAAATTAATAAAGTATAAGTGTTGTAAAACGCTTTAAAATGAGTACATAAATTAAGACCGCTTATTAATTTCATTATTACATAAATCCTCACTAACACTTAAAAAAAAAATGCATTTTTTGGATGTAAATTTAAATGAACAAAAGTGTTAAAAGATTACAAAAAAATCTTTTCGAAATATTTAAAAACAAAATTCTCCTTTAATTTTTGTAGCTCCTCGGCAACACTGCCATTTGACAAAATACCAACAAACGAAAGTCGAAGAAAAAGGGGGAGTTTACTAAAAAAGCAAAATCAGAAAAATTAGTTGGAAAGTAATTTAGTCAAAATTCAAGTTTAATTAAAAAAAATGGAATACGAAAGTGTTTTGATCGTCAAGCCAGAAGTATTTATTTACAAAATCCCACCACGCGCCAGCAACAGAGGTTACAGGTAAGCTAAGCAAAAGCGGTGCTCCAATGGGAAAAGTGTGTTCGTGGAAAATTTGCTAGTTTCCTCTTTTCTTGCCTACCATTGTTTTTTGTTTTTCATTGCCACTGCCAAGCAACGACTACGACAAAGAATCTAAAGCGCATAGTAAAAAAAAAACTAAAATTAATTTCGCGAATGGACCACGTCAATGGGAGATGAACAAAGCAAATACTTAATTGTAGATAATTACAAATTCGATATTTTCAGCTGCGGCATCAGTTTATTGATTGTCCTTAAACTCAACCGCTTTTCTTTCCGCAAGGTTAAGCGTTAATTTAATGCTTCAAGTTCACTTTTAATTGATTTTTTCTGCGGCAAATCTCAACTATTAGTGTACTTGTGCAAGATGTTGTCAATTGTTATTACATTTATGGTACATATAAATAAGTGATTGGGGCTTGAAAGTATCATTTTTGCAAATTTTTCTTAAATTAAATTTTTAGAACGTGAAATTTGAGAACTAATAAATTTTTCATCACATAGAGCTGCAGATTGGAATCTGGGTGAACCCACATGGACCGGTCGTATGCGTTTAGTGGCCAAAGGGACAGCATGTAATTTAAAGTTGGAGGATAAGACTACAGGTGCGCTATTCGCCAATTGCCCAATCGATACATATCCTGGGGTAGCTATAGAAGCGGTATCGGATAGTTCGCGTTATTTTGTAATACGCGTACAAGATGATAACGGTAGGTATAGTAAGGTGTAGTACTAAAGAATATGATTAAATATACTTTTTTGTCATTTATATATGTATATATGTATGTATCTATCGCTGTGTTCTTTTATATCTACAGGTCGTTCAGCGTTTTTGGGACTGGGTTTTGGCGATCGCTCAGATTCATTTGATCTGAATGTAGCCTTACAAGATCATTTCAAATGGGTGAAAAACCAAGAACAAATAGAAAAAGAAAAAACCGAACCTAAGCAACAACTTGACTTGGGTTTCAAGGAGGGTGAAACTATTAAAATAAATATGCGAATAACAGTATGTGTGCAGCATAAAAAATAAGAAAAAAGATTTAATTTGTAATTTATTATATGAATTTTTTACATTAGAAAAAAGATGGTTCAGAGGGCACCGCACGCGCTGGCAAAGCCAAACCATCGTCTGGTATTTTGCCACCTCCACCGGGTGGTATTGGGAAGATTGCACCACCGCCATCAGGAGCTGGCGGTTCGGTACGACAAAGTCCGGGTACATCACCTGCACATAAAGCACCAGGGACTGGCACCGAATGGACGGATTATGCTTCAGCAGGGTAATATTTAATTTTGTTTATATAAATTTATGCACTTTAATTAATATCCATTTACTACATTATAGCGGACAAGCACAGCCACAACAACAGCAGAATGCCGCTAATTCGAATTGGGTGCAATTCTAAGTAGGTTTAAACAAATATTTACATATGAATGCATACATACATATATACACACAAACTCATACAGAAATACATAAATACAAATGAATGAAATGCATTTGTAACTACATACATCTGTATGTTCGTCAAAAATATACTAAAGCTAAAATTGTATAACGTACAGCGTTTAAAAACGCGTAAAAAATGAGCTTTCTGCCAGAATTGTATAAAATGTATAATTTATTGCATTGAAGTAAATTTGCGCGAGTTATATGCATACATACAAACGATAACGACAATTTAACGAAATTTGTGAAATTAGCAAAAGGTTTAATATGTAATCAAACCAGTACATGGTATAGCGAAAATATAAAAGATGAAAAATTACGACAAATATGTATGTAATACTTGTTAATGTAATATAAATTTAAATATTAAAGAGTTCAGTTTTTTTTTTAGTAAAATTATATCTTAACTATATACATAATAAATATGAAAACAAAGTAAAAACATACACATTATGCATATATTTATGTAAATATGCTACAAGTGTAAAACTCTGCTGAACAGAGAAGGCGAGAAAATAATAAAAATATGTAATTCATACTACACAATTATGGCATTCATTTGGTATTACTTGACATACATACACACATACTTAAATATTACTTTTGTTTACTTCGCACATTTTGATTTCATATATTAATTATATTCGTCTCGTAAGTGCACAGTGCTAATATTATGAAATGTACTTACATAATTTGCGTCAATTTAATACGCATTTGAATTTAATTTACGTAAATTCTTTTTTATTTACATTTGCATACACATTCCATTTTGTATTATTGTTCGCTTGAGGAGTGCAAAGCATGTTTTTTCTGCAAAGAATATTGATTATTAAGTATTTTCAAAAAGTATGTGATTTTGAGTTTGCTAAAAGGAAATAATTTGTATTAAATTTAAAAAAAAATATATATATGGAGTTTAGTAAATAGGTATGCATATACAAAAATTACAATTGATTGGTTGCCCATCTATCGTTACGATTGTAATCCAGAGAATGTTGTATGAAATGTAAAATAAAATGTAAAACAAAAAATCATAGCATAAATTTTATTGTATTTACATACATATAGCAATTGTAACTATATTGTTCAGCGCTTTTGCAAATACATACATATTTAGCATAAATTGAATATTTTGTTGCTATTGAAAGTAAAAAAATGCAAATTAAACCTTAATAATGTAAAACTCGTGACGTAGCTTACAAATGGCATTACTTATTTTCCACTCAACTTATTTAAATACTACAAATAATTATTATGTTTTTTCCCAATTTAATCCAAACTTACGCGCTGCTAAATAAAAATAAATGTTAGGCAAGTTTCTGAGTATGTAAAAAAATATATATATATTAGTTTATGTATGTTTTAAAATTATAGAATTGGTATATATTGAAAGCGAAATTGAATATTATAATTTTTATTTACGCAATAAATAAACAAAAATAAATAAAAGAAAAACTCCGCAAATCAAGAGCACATTAGTTTTATTCGATTTGTTTTTGGAAATTGTAAGTATATTCAATGTGAAAATATTTAAGTCCTACTGCTGGCTGTAGCATACTTACGGCCGTAGACTTTCGTTGAACATACTTCAACATCAGCTGTGTTTGCTATTGGTTGGCAATTTTTTGTTTTATTTATTTAATTGGTATATACGAATTTCAGCTCTAAATTAAATTTCTACAATTAATTTCATGTTATAAGTGTTATATTTACATTTTGATTAACAAATATAATGTACACATTACTGCATGGCTTCTATAAATACCTCACACAAAAGGAGGAATACTGCGTGGTTATACTTGGACTGGACAATGCTGGAAAGACGGTTAATAACTATTGCTATATGTTTAATACGGTATTTTATAAACTAATTAATACAGACCTACTTGGAGGCGGCGAAAACGAAATTTACAAAAAACTACAAAGGTATGAATCCCGCGAAGATTACCACAACGGTCGGCCTAAATATTGGCACCATCGATGTGTCAGGTGTGCGACTGAATTTCTGGGATTTAGGTGGCCAGCAAGAATTGCAATCGTTGTGGGATAAATACTACCAAGAATCACATGGTGTGATATATGTGATAGATTCGAATGATCGTGAACGCATGGAGGAGTCTAAAGTTATATTTGGTTAGTGGAAAGCTTATGAAAAATAATATGTTTAATAATATTAAAAAATTTATTTTATCTTATGGTTTTAGATAAAATGATTAAAAACGAACTGCTCTCAGGTGTACCACTGCTTATACTTGCCAACAAGCAAGATTTGCCAGATGTAATGGGCGTACGCGATATTAAGCCGGTATTTCAGCAATCTGGTGCGTTAATAGGACGACGCGACTGTCTCACAATGCCAGTATCTGCGCTCACGGGGTAAATAATAAATATTACACCCGCATATAATTATTGTTAAAGTTTAATATATTGTTTCCACTATACAATTCTCAGTGAGGGCGTCAATGAGGGTATTAAATGGTTGGTTGAAGCCATCAAACGGCATTCCATAGTACGACCGCCGCGAGAAAACGATTGATCGGATCCAAAGTGGGTTGTATGTAATCGTAACGAATATATTTTCATTATATAAGAACTTCTTAATTAATTTTCCCTCTAACTAGTATGGTGTAAATTTTGTATGTACAAAGCAAAACATAAAACAGTTTTTGAAATAGTATTTTAAATTATACATATATAAATATAAACTATTCTTAAAAGCAAATTAATTTACAGTGTTTTGCCCCGCTATAAATTACTTAAGCCTCTTTTTTTTATTAATTTAAAAATGAGAGTATTTAATATACATTTGTCAAGTAAAAAAAAATTAAATTTTCTTGGAAATTATATATATATTATTTGTTATTTCGTTACAACTTTTTCTATTGGTGCTATTTGAATGATTAAGAGAGTATTTTCATAGCATAAAAGTGTCAACTACACCTTTTCAGTAATAATCTTCAAACCACACTACCTTTACATGCTTGCTTATCAGTTAGTACTCCAATTAATATTTTACGAGTAGCTGATAAAACGTTGTTGTTGTTGATTTTTTGCTTTTACTGTATACAAACGTTCTAGTGTTTTTTGATTGTGCTCTCCATCCACTTGAATATTATTTAGCTACACCTATGTATATACATGCTTTTAAGATAACACAAACAACAAATGCAGAGCACGACAGGTAGGCAAAAGGTGGGCGACTGTTAGCATTTTTTGGTACTTGTTAACGAATTAGCTCAGCGGGTTTTGAACTTCCCATTGAGCGTTCAGTGAGTATTCCTTTCAATAGGTGTATTTTCGTGCGATAAGAGGTAAATTTTTGTGTAACTTTAAAAATCGTTGCTCAGTATAAACGGGACGCTATGCTTTACGGTAGCAATTGACAGCTGTGATACCATAAGGAAATTTACAAATTTATATTTGCCTATGAGTTTGTAAATATTTCCATAACTTACATATTTCATTGGACGGTTGTGTAAAAGTTGTTATATTTAAACTACGTATACTATTGATGGTACATACATATTTGCACGATTAAAAAGACTTAATTCGTGGCTAAGTTGTTGAAAGGGTGAATAATATCTCTTATAAATTTATATTAAAATATACATACATACAAACATACATGCATAAGGTTTCATACTATAAGATAACAAATAAAATATAAGCGACAACGTTTCATGGCTTATCAGTAACGGTTTCGTGATATCGAATTGTTTTTGGTTTCATTTCCAATTTTTTTTTGTTTTTTGGTGAATGAAGTGTATTGGGAAAACAAAAACAAGTATGCGTTAAATAAATAAAAAAAAATAATTTTTTTTCTATAATAAAAAATTTTCCGAAATTTACTCGAATACAAATTAAGATATTTTTGTGGGTGAAACTTTTTGCATATTTCGCTGCAGTTGATCGACAATGTATCCATACTACGAGCCGGATTGGAGTGTTTTGCCGCCTGAAAATAATCGCAGGTAATTATAGTGCTCAAACCTTTAGATATGTATTTGTAAGTATGTGTGAAGCATTCATTTTATACTTATGTATAAGTAAATCGACATGTTTGTCAAATAATATAGATAATTAGCCCGTAAATTATTTTCAAAATTACGTTCAAGTTTAAGTTAGTAACTATTTTTCCATGTTATAAAAGTGTGTATGTAACAGTTGAAATATCTACATGAGTAATAACATATCTTATCAATGTATTATTTGTAGAAGATGCAATCGAATATTTGATAAAATGACTTAGTACTGTGTAATTTTTGTTTTTGCATGCTCAAGGAGCAAGGAGAGGAAAAATTAAGAAATTCCAATACCAGTGGCCTGTGCCAGGGCTTGACAAATTCATATAACATTTATGTATTTACTGACTTTTAAATATGCGCAAGCAAAAGATTTTCAATATTCTTGTGATCTTTTAATGGAAAAAATTCATTTTGCTGCCATAACAGCCTCAGCTTGAGTACTTCGTCTTTTTTTTTTTTTTTTTTTAATTTTGCAGTGCAAGTTTCAAAATCGTTGCAATGCCAGAATATTTCTTAAAATAAAGATTTAAAATATTTCCGAAACTCGAAATTTTAAAACAAAATATTGGCGTACTTGCCTACTGTGCAATTTTTTAAATATTGCAACTCTGAAATATATCTACCGAAATACCACATTTATATCGATTACGTTTTAGCTGTCAACGTTGCTTTACCTCTTTTTTGGCCCAATTCGTTGCCACTTGACAAGTTCTGTCAGTCGTGTTGGTCGTTTGTCATCGGTTAGCGAAAAAGTGCTTTTATTTTGTGAAAATCCAATTTATTTGTTTAATTTTTAGTTTTCTCCCCACACCTGTTTGTGTGTAAATACGTCGAAAATCTGTGAAAAGTTAATAGAGAATTGCACGCTGCAAAGAAAAACGCTACATTCCAGTAGAAAATAAGTGAAAAAATTGGGCGAAGACGTCACAAGGAAGAAAATGTAAATTGATGCGTTGTGAAAAATAAGCGTAGAAAAGACGAAACAAGTTAAATGACTAGGTAAAGAAGTAATAAACGTAAATTGCGTGTGCAAGCAAAGGCAAAAGTAAACGTCAAAAGAAACATAAACGAAAAGGTTAACAAATACGTGTATTTGGATAAAACAAAGTGAAAATTAATTGGAATATCATGTAAGCTTATTGCATAAAGAAGTATAAAAGTGTATAACACAAAGTTCTGCAGTCTGAAGGTATACAAACACTTGACCATAATAGCTACGCTTACCGCCACCTGCTTTTTTATTCTCACAACTGCATGTCTTTAGGCTATTGGATCTGTGTTGGTCTTGTTACCATATTTACCAATTGCTTGCAGCCGCTTTTGTTTTATTTAGCTCGCAATACTTCTGATACAATGTATAGGCTTTATATCTCACCAACTCCGCCCGAATAACCTAAGAAAATTGGAAAGTTTGTTAAAAATGGATAAAAAATTTTTTTTTTTTATTTTAAACAAACATTCCCAGTGTTTATCGAGTGCCGACAGCTTATGATTATTTCATAAATCAAATGAGAGTCTTCAGAAAATCAGCTGATAAGCGGAAACTGTTGCTTGCTATCTACTCCTTTATGCGGCTTTATAGGCTTGAAAAAAAAAATTTACTTTGAAACAAATGAATATTTATTAAAAGTTAATAAAAAAAATCTAAATAAAAGCAAGGGCAAGCACATATCCTCGATTTTCTAGCATAAATGTTATAAAAAATTTATCAATTGTGTTACTCACCACAATCTAAACGACAATTCACCATGGTTTAGTAAACTGTCATTAGTCTACTGCAGTTGAGTTTCCGCTAGTTTTGGCCAAGTTTGTCCTCACTTTTGTAAGGCAGGAAGACAGAAAAAATATATAAAAACACAGCGATTAAACGAAAACACAGGAAGGAATATCATTTTCTTTCATCTTGTGCACTTTTTTCTCCCTGTGTGTGGTAAGCTTTTGTTAATATGTTGCCACAAATCCTGTTTCCGCTCCTACTCATATGCTGTATGTCCAAAATGCCATTAGCCTACACATTCACATACTGTGTGTCTGCTCAAGCAAATGGCAATTGCAACAAACAGTTGGTTGTGCATGCAACTACTAGCTATTGGTAGTTTGCATTAGCAGAAGACTTCGTTACTGCCTGCCCACATATGCATACAAAAAACAATGGAAAAGTGTGTAAAATGAAAGCCATTGAGTTCAAGGAGTAAAGAAAAAGTGCACAGAAAAATAAGGGCATAAGAATTGAAAAACTATTTGCAAATGGTAAAACATAAAATCCACGTAGCATTAAATATGCAGACAAATGTATGTACCAACATACACATACATATAACTATTGACTTAAATACAGTTATATGTGACTGTTAATTGTTATGTGCAGTGTATCAGACTAATGCTTATGTCGTTAGGGTATAATGCGCAATGCTCAACGTGTAATAAATATTTGTTATTCTACAAATATGTATGTAGTTTAATGAATGACAGCTGTAATTAACGAATTGTTTGTTGCTAATTTCTTTTTATTAATTAATCATAAGGGAGTTTAAAAGAAGAGTTTATAAAGAAACACATGCCATGCATATATGACAAATATTATCATTGCTTTGCCTACCTACGTTTATTGGAGAGTGAAAGAATAAATGCAATTCCAAATACATAAATTTATATAATAAAGGGTGATTTTTTTAGCTATTATCCTTTTGGCAACACTGGCTTAAACAGCTGATTAACGTTTCGTGTTTTGTATCACTGTCAAAAATCTTCTTTTTGGTCTATCATTTAACCAAGAATCGTCTTAGGAACGAACAACGCTTGTAAATTATTGAATTTTATTATCAAAATGCGTGCTCTGTTAAGAAAGTTCATTGCTTCGAAGCTCAATTTTGGCTTAAGGGATGCGTAAATAAGCAGAATTATGGATTTTGGAGTGAAGATGAGCCAAAATCATTGCAACGTCTACCAATGCGTCCAGAAAAAGTCACTGTCCATTGCGGCATCACTGGACCGTACTTCTTCAAAGATGAGGCGAATCATAACGTAACTGTGAATGGTGAGCGCTAACGTGAGATGATAACAAACTTTTTTTTTGCCACAAATGCAAGAGCTTAACTTGTGGTTTCAATAAGACAGTGCCACATGCCACACAGCACGTGTAACAATAGACTTATTTAGAGGCGAGTTCGGTGAACATTTTATTTCACGTTCGGGACTGGTCAAATGGCCGACAAGATCGTGCAATTTAACGCCTTTAGACGATTTTTTGTGGGGCTATGTGAAATCTTATGTCTATACAGACAAGTCCGCTTCATTTGACGGATTGAAGGACAACATTGAAGCATTTATTCGTGAGATACCGGCCGAAATGTTGGAAAGACTATGCCGAAATTGAACTAATCGGATGGACCATTTGAGGCATACCCTGCGGGTGAGGGGTTCAAGAATTTACCCGCGGCAAGGGATGCTCGTCGTAAGAGGCGACTAAAATCCAATAGTTCCTGCGAGAGTCGGGTCTTTATACCGGAAAGACCCGAGTATTTTATCCGGCCAAGGACTGACACTCACAGCATTACAAAAACTACAACTTCATTTGAGGCGCAGTCACGGTCAACATTTTCATGAAATAATCTTCAAACATTAAATAATATGAACCGTATTATCGATTCAAATATAGATTTCATGCATATTTATGAATTTTTTGTGTTTTTTTTTAAACTTTGCTAAAAAATCACCCTTTATATACTTCTCAATACGGCATTCAGTACAAAAACGTATTAGATATCGTTATATTTCTTTCAAAATTTTTGCGGCCCTGCTGATTTTTGCTTAAAGCTAAATGTAGTATTACTTAGTAATTTGCACTTCCTTTAATTGCCTTAAATGTTTTCTACCCTCCATTTTTTTGGCTTTGAAAATCAATTACTATGTCGTTACTGGCATTAAATTCTCAGCCTATGAACATCGGCTCAACTAGCGTAATGAGTCAAGCTCAGCTTTACCGTTTTCAGTACATATAAAGCTTTGTAACCAATTATACATACCGTACATATATACAAATAAGTTAGTGTTTGTATTTTGTATTCAAATCGATTGCTGTTGAAAGCCGGAGTTTATAGTTGACTCAGTCATTGGTCAGACATCCAGTCCACATCAGTGTCGCAGTCGCTTTCGTCGTAATGATAAAATGGAAATGCTATTTATCTAGTCATACAAGAGTTACTTTATCTACATATATGAACTCTATGTAAATAGTTAGCATGCTACTGATATTCAGTATACGATACACTATTCAACCCACTATAACAACAAATACATGCATTAATCTATTCAACAGTAACAAAAAAATAAATTTAAAAAAAAATAAATAAAGCAAAAAAATAAGGTGATTATCAAATAATAGTAATACAAAAGCCATATAAAAATAGTTTTTCTGTGTTCAACTATCAACGATCTCTCTGCATAGGGGCAGAGTATAGAAAAAGGTGAGTAGTGGAGCATAAGACACAGTGACGGAGTGTAAAAGGCAGATATTGGAGCACAGTGACAGATTTTAGCGCGTGTCTCGTGTGTCTCGATAGCCAAGTTGAAAGAAAAAGTAACAAATACGGCGGTAATAGTAACAAGCTGGAGAGCTAGGTAAAAAAAAAACAATAACAACAAGCTTGAAAGCAAAAGTAATAACAACAATAATATCAAAATCAACTGAAAGAGTGAATCACGGCTTAAAATGAATTCCGAACACGGGTAAATTTCTGTTTTGTAATTACGCTTCTAATGTATTCTAGTAGTTATCTTATTTGTTGCTCCCTTTTAACACAAAATTCTTAATTTTATTAGTTTTTTTTTTACTGTAAATTGCCATATTTTATAGCAATATTAAATAAATTGAAGTGTATTAGTCAATATTAATTTATAATATATACAGTAGAAATTAAATTTGATTGATTTAATGCAATTTAATTGATTTTTAGATATTACAATGTATATAAATAAATATATGGTAAAATCTCTTTTATTTAAATAAACCGCATATTCTCTTGTGTCTTACTATTGCATTTTGGTCAAGTAAATTTTTTGAAATTTGAAGTCAAATTAATTTCGAATCAGTTGAGGATTAAATTTAATGTAATAATAATACAAATTTATATGTGTAAATTTATATATGTACATATGTACATATGTATGTTTGCTTTATTTATAAAAAAACCGGAGCTGATCCCTAGCTTATACACAAAATAAAAAACTGATTTATTTTAGTTTACACTTAACATAACCTCAAAAAATTTAATAATTCGTATGCCAATTGGTTTCTTTGTTAAGTTAATTTAAATTAATTATATTACCATATCATATTGTATTCAATTTAGTTAATATTTTTTATGGTTTGTACGCTTTTTATTTTATTATTATTATTTTTATTATATTTTTTTATTTTTTTTATATATTTTTTTCTAACTTAATATAACCTCAAAAAATTTAAAAACTCGTTTGTCAATTTTTAATTTAATTATATTGTTTTATTGTTTGTACGCTTTTTACTTTTATTATTATTATTATTGTTATTATAATTATTATTATTACTATTATTATTATTATTATTATTATTAGTATTATTATTATTTTTATTGTTATTTTATTTTTATTTTATTTGTTTTTTTTTATTTTTATTGCCGTTTTTTTAAGTTTTGTTTTTATTTTACTTTAATTATTATTTTTTATTATTTTATTTCATATTATTTTTATTTAATTTTAATTCATATTATTTTTAATTTTATTTTAATTGCTATTTTAATTATTATGTTTTATTGTCTTTCTTTTTCCCCTTTTCCTTATTTCTAACAACTTTACTTACTAAATAATCTCAGTTAAATTAATTTTTTCGCCATAAAAATAAACAAAACCATATTCATTGCATGTAAAACTAATAATTTGTTTTCCCATTTCTTTGGCGCTTGTCTCCACTTTTTTCCAGATTTAATCCAGCCTTTAATATGGCGACTATACGCCAAGCATTCACAGAGGCCGTCGAACGAGGTAGGTGGCAACAAACTAACAAATGAAAAAACATTGTTGTTGTTGTACAGAGCTGTGTAGTTCAATATATGTACATATGTAGTACCTACTAGATACTAGAAGATTGTGTGTTGTTGTGTAACGGCCTAGCCCTGTTTCCTTACACTTAAGTGCAATAAGTCAATTTATCTGCCGCCACCACCACCACTGATCGAATATACTTATTGGCATACAAATGTGCATACCTATACAATATATGTGTAGTTAGATCTAATTGAATGACAGCGTGAATAGTTTAGAGAGACTACAATAACAACAACAACAACAAAAATGCTTTCAATTAACACATCTCGGACGTTAAGCGAATTTCATAAATCATTACCACCCACTAAAACGTACTTGAGCGCAAGCATAGAGACTTAAAAATACATACAAACAGACACCAAAAGGCCAAAGTGTTGAGGGGGTACAAAAATCATGGCACGATAACGTTTGTACATACATCCATAGAAGATCCAACAATGAAGCAGATATACTTGCTTGGCATCAACTTGTGTGTGTGTGTGTGTGTGTGTGGGACACACCAAGCAACTTGTAGTATTTCACTATATCTCATACATATGTACATACATACTCGTACATACATAGCATACAACTTAAACAATTTCTTATTTTTCAACGCTTTTCTTTTTATTCTTCTTTTGCCGCTGTGATTGCAGTAAGAATGCCAACACCTACACGCCTGCGAGATCTCATACGGCAAATACGCGCCGCCAGGACAGCTGCCGAAGAGCGCGCTGTAGTTAACAAAGAATGTGCCTACATCCGCAGCACTTTCCGGGAGGAGGATTCGGTGTGGCGGTAAGTCAATAACTGCACTACTGCAACTACCCACATACATATAAATAAACTCACCTACATACATACAATGAATGCTTTAAATTTAAATTTTTAATTTCCTTTCTTCAGATGCCGCAACATTGCAAAATTGCTCTACATTCATATGTTGGGTTATCCAGCGCATTTCGGGCAATTGGAATGTCTGAAACTCACCGCCAGCACACGTTTCACCGATAAACGCATTGGTTATTTGGGTGCCATGCTATTGCTGGACGAACGTCAGGATGTGCATTTACTGATAACGAATTGCCTCAAAAAGTAAGCAGTTTCAGTAGTGTTTTTGGCTTTTACAGTTAGCGGAAATAAACTTTTACGCTTGCACGCGAATATCAAAATAGTTGCACAAAGTCATTGCCACCAATTGGTGAGCAAAGCAAGAAGAGGACAAAAAAGAAAACAACAACAACAATAACAAAAAAATGCAACAAATTACGATTTGTCACGTTGGCATAGTTGCTTGGCTACTTGTGCGGCATTTCTTTGTGGTTGACTACATTGCTTTTGACCCCACAGCATTTTGGCGGCCTTCTTTTGGCAGTCGTTTTGTGCTCTGTGTTGTGGTTTTATTTGTTTTTATTGCAATTTAAAAGGCTTGATACAATCAATTGACTTATTTTTTTTAATACTTTTTCCCTCGTCTCTTCGCAGCGACTTAAATAGTTCCACACAATTTGTGGTCGGTTTGGCGTTGTGCACGCTGGGCGCTATAGCATCGCCCGAAATGGCACGTGATTTAGCCAGCGAGGTTGAACGTCTAATGAAATCGCCCAATACGTATATACGCAAAAAGGCAACATTATGCGCTTTTCGTGTTATTCGACGGGTACCAGAACTGATGGAAATCTTTTTACCGGCCACACGTTCGCTGTTAAGCGAGAAGAATCACGGTATGTTCTAAAGTGGTTTAATATGTACATATATACGCACATGTATATATAATATGCATATATGTATAATAAATTAACTGTATATGTATATAAATATGTTTGTAGCGAAATATATTGCGCATTTTAAATTATTTGCCATGAAACTGGAGTCATGCAATCGCATGCTTTTCTGAGCTTAAATTAATGCATTTTTAAGTTATGTCAAATTTAAAGCGCGCAATAGTTTATTTGATTGTTAAAAACAATTATTTTGCATTAAATATTTCTATTGAATTTATAGGCATTTTAATTACTGGCGTAACGCTTATCACCGAAATGTGCGAAAACAGTGCCGATACTTTGCTGCATTTCAAGAAGGTGAGTCAACAGTAAATTTGTTGTAAAAATCAAAAAAAAAAAATATAGATTTAATGAACCTTGCTCATGAATAAATGGTTGAAGGCATTTTCTTTTTAAATTAAATTTATTGTAAAAATTAATAAAAAAAAATTGTAGATTTAAATTAAGAGTAAAAATTTTAAGTTATTGAAATTTCGTGAAAATGCCGTTAAAAGTAGTTATCAACAAATGTGAACGCTGAATTTTGCATGAATATAAAAAAAAAAACATTATATACAATATATACATATATGTATATATAAAAATAATAATAAAAAATCCAAACTATTAAAATTAATAATAATCAGAAATAATTAATAGTTTAGCTTAAAAAGCTCTAATTATCTACGTTTTTCGGTGTATTCAAATTTTTTTGAAGCGTTTTGTCCGCTAGATTTGCTTTTAAAACTTTATTTATGAAAATGGAATGAAAACTAATTTCATGAGACAAACCATTTTATTTTTTACCAAACAAAACTAAATAAAAAGTGTGTAATTTAGCTAAATATAAGTATAAAATATCTAAAAACAAATCGATTAAAGCTTGTACACTCCCATTTTTAAAGTAAATATGTTATTGTATAATGAAAAAAAACCATCACTCAGCCTGTTCGAAATATACATTTTTTCACACAAAATTAGTTTTAAAATGATAAATACTGATGAGAGTGATAAACGAGTAAATTTTTACTAACACCAATCTGCCTTTGAAATAGCTTATATATCTAAATTAATTTGTTTAACTACCCACATAGGCGCCGCTGTAAATACATACAAACGTTAAATGCGTATTGTGCTAAATTGTTTGCCAAAACGTTAAATATTTGCTATTAAACAAAGCACAACAAATAAACTGAGCTCTTAAAAGAAATACTATGTATTTTATTTATTATTATAATTTTTTTTTAATACAATTGAAATTCGCTTACGCTTTTTAAAAGCTTTATAGCTCACTTTGGAATTATATACATATATATATATATATTTGTTTTAATTATTTTTTATTTTATAAAATTTTAATTTTTTATTTAATTTTTACTAAAACTTAATATTTTTGCCATATACATACACACATATATATAATTTGTACACTATAGTTAACAAAAAAAAAACCTAAAAAAAACTACAACATTTAACTTTTTTGTAATTATATTTATTGCTAACTTTTTTAAAAAAACCCCCCGCCTACAAATACGAAATCCAAACCCGATATTTTTGTAATTTGCTTGCCAGGATAGCGGAAATCGAGAGGTATGACTTTGACAGAAGTTATATACACCTTTAATACAATAAAATACAAATGTTATACACACTCGTACATACATACATATATAGATAACTAGAAAAACAGCACACACATACTCGCAGCTAAATATACAAAATCCAATGTAACTTTGTGAGTGCTTGATCTTATGTTTTCAAAAATAAAAAATAAATAAAAATTAAGCTAAACTTTGAAAAACTTTGAGTAGCGTAGCAAAGTTGGTATTAACGAGGGCTAATTGTTAATTTAATAATATTTTCAAAAACACACACACATATTTTTGTAAGTAGTTTAGTAAAAGTATATAAAATATATAATAATAATATGTAGTATAATTTTTTTTCGTATATATTGCACTTGTTGAAGAAAAGTTCGTTTTGAAATTGAACAGTAGACCTTATTTGTGAAAACTGCAAAATTACATTAACTACTAGTAGTTAAATTAAATATAATTATTTCATTGATTAAAGCGTAAATAACTAAAATTAACGCTAGTTATACAAAGTAAAAATGTATTTCGAAGCTAAAAATTAATAATATTATTTCAAACTATGTAAACACTAAAAGAAGTAAAGTGAGGTTATGTTTTTTTTTTTCGTTGGCTAAAATTAAAAACACATCACTCTAAACAGCGAAACTGATTTTGATCAATAAATAAGACGATTTTTTTAATTATTTAAGATTTTGAGCAAGAAAAAAAGAAGTATATATACAAATATGTATATATATTTAAACACGCTTACAGCACTTGTCACTAAATTAAAATTTATATTATTCCGCTGCCACAAATTATGAAATTCAGCCTTTTAAGAATTGCTTTTATTTTACATTTGTTACTGTTTAACAGTTTTCGAGAGTTTAAAGTGTTATTTTATTACCTTTATACTATATACCGTTTAATTAGACACCCAATGCCTATATAAGTATGCGTTTGTATGTTTAATTTTTGTCACTAAAGGAGTTTTTTTTAACAATACTAAGCTTAAAATTATTTATTGAAATTTAATATCACCACACAAGTAAATTTATTTAACACTTTTCTGAATTCACCCTAGTTACTTCTTATTCACAAGTTTTTAAATTATTCCCTGAAAAATTCACAAAAATAAAAATAAAAACTACTTTTTACACTTTTCAAAAAACACAAATTTCAATTCTACCACGAAATTTTCTATCCAATGCTTCTATCCCACTAAGCAACTCGTACTTGTTAAGCGCTTTTCAAATACCCACTCTTTTCAAATTCTTGCTCTCAACTCTCATTTTGAGTGTTAACATAAAATTGAAATAAGAAATAATTTACTTTTTAACACGCTGACCACATCTCCATTTACCTTTAGATTGTGCCCAATTTGGTACGCATATTGAAGAATCTGATTTTGGGCGGCTATTCGCCGGAACATGATGTGAGCGGCGTGAGCGATCCATTTTTGCAAGTGAAAATTCTACGTTTATTGCGCATACTCGGCCACAATGATGTGGACGCCTCGGAGGCAATGAATGATATTTTGGCGCAAGTAGCCACCAATACGGAGACAAGTAAAAATGTGGGCAACACTATACTCTACGAGACGGTACTCTCCATTATGGATATACGGTACGTATGCGTTACTTTTTTTTTTGCAATTTCATTACTTTTGTTTGTAATCTTTTATTAATAATCTCATACAAACTCTTACACAGCTCGGAGGGTGGTCTACGTGTGTTGGCCGTCAATATATTAGGTCGTTTTCTACTTAACTCTGACAAGAATATACGTTACGTTGCATTGAATACACTATTACGTACCGTACATGCAGATACGTCGGCGGTGCAACGGCATCGTACCACTATATTGGAGTGCCTCAAAGATCCGGATGTCTCGATTAGACGTCGCGCCATGGAACTCTCATTTGCGTTAATAAATGCACAAAATATACGTACAATGACCAAGGAGTTGTTGCTGTTCCTAGAGAAGGCTGATCCCGAATTCAAAGCGCAATGCAGTTCGGGCATGATATTGGCAGCTGAACGTTACTCGCCCAATGCGCGATGGCATCTGGATACACAGCTGAGTGTGTTAATAGCGGTAAGTGAGCGGCATTTGTTTGTTTTTTTTTTATATTTTTTTTATGTAATAATTTTTGTTTTACCTTATATTTCCCATTAGGCTGGCAACTATGTACGCGATGATGTGGTGTCGTCCACCATACAGCTGGTCTCAAGCAGTCCTGTCGCTGAACAGACCTATATAACGAACCGTTTCTGGGAGTCACTGCAGGTCGCCAATCATTGTGAAGACAAGCAGCCCTTGCTACAAGTGGCCGTTTGGGCAATTGGCGAATATGGTGATCTGTTCATGTACGGGCCCAATGAAGATGGTGTGTGGCAAATTGAGATTTTAAAATTTATAATATTTATATGTATTTCCTTTATCAGCTTACTATTTTAATGCATATTTCACTTATTTAATTCTCTTCTTCCTCTGACAGAATTTGAACGTCCAAACGAAAGCGATTTGATCGCCATGTTTCATAAGTTCTTAACCTCTGCTCAAGTATCAATAACTAGCAAGCAATACGCCTTAGTCTCACTCGCTAAGCTTAGCACGCGTCTGCAGAATTGCGTAGAGTAAATATTATTACCGTTATAAATTTGCTATCCGAGCATTGTTATCATTTTATTTTTATTTATACTAGAGAAATTCAAGCATTGATTACCTCATTCGGCAGTCATCTGAATGTGGATTTACAACAGCGTGGCGTCGAGTTTACACAACTCTTTGGCACCTATAAGAACTTACGTCCACCGTTACTCGAAAAAATGCCACCAATGCAAATAAGTCGCATCTCATCGCAAAATGGTGAGAGTAGCGGTTCGTACGATGACAATAGTCCGGACTTAATTGAGAACGGCATCGGTATTGGCGATGAACAGTTGGGCAAAGAGAGCAATATGAATACGATGGGTGATAATACGGTGAGTCAGTAAATTGAATTAAAAGAAAATATTAGATTAATAAAAAAGAAAATATTTATATTGGAATAAAAAGAAAATATTTATATTGGAATAAAAAAAAATATTTTTATTGGAATAAAAAAAAAATTTTTATTGGAATAAAAATACTTTTATTAGAATAAAAAAGAAAATGTTTTTATTAGAGTAAAAAAGAAAATATTTTTATTGGAATAAAAAAATATTTTTATGAAAAAAGTTTTATAATACTAACCAAATATATTTCTATGAATTAAAAATAAAATATCTTAATAAAAAATACTTTCATAATAAAATTAAATATATAGGTACACTTTTTTATATATATTTACGTATGTATAAACGCTATAATTCTATATTAAAAAAAAAAACAAAATATTTTTTTTATTTTATTATTTTTATTTATTTTTTTTTATTTTTTTTTTGTATTGAAAAAATACTTTTATAAAAATATAATTGTATTTATACATAAATGCTTTATTTCTATCTACGTATATATTTTTTTCTTATTCAGAACATATTACTTGACTTACTTGGTGGTACCGATTTGACCTCCCCCACCGCAACAGACCTATCCAACTCGGTTGCCGTGCAGAGAAAGAACTCAAAGAATGCTAATGAAACGTCCAATAATCAAGCCATACTTGATTTGCTCGATTTGGATATTTCAGCTAGCACAACAACAAACACAGCAACAAATATGAATAATGTTTTGGGCTTGGATTTGAGTGGCAGTTTGTCGACGTCGATACCAACGACAACGGCGACAAATGGCAATGATTTGTCGAGTATAATGTCGCTTAGCGGCAATGGCCTTGGTGGTGGAGGCGCTACAGTTAGCGGTAGTGGCCTCTTGGGTTCTAACAGTATTTTAGCGCAGCCTGGCAATGGGTTGATCTCCGATTTAGGGTCACCAGTTGCAAATGTTACACCACCAACATCAAATAATGCTGCTGTGGTGAGTTTGAAAATGTAAATGTATGTATAGAAAATTGAATTATCACTTCTTTCTGTTTTTTTTTTGTGCTTTTTAGCCTCAGGGTCCAACTTTAACTGTGTTGGATAAGAATGATTTGCTCGTGCAGTTAGTGCCAGTTAGAAACAGTGACTGCTTACAAATATTTATGACAACAACAAATAATTCAACAAATACATTGGAACAATACGTCTTTCAGGTGAGTTGAAATTGAATTTTGGAACAGCTTAGGAAAGTGGGAGGACAGTCAAAGAAAACTGATATTTTTAAATACTTTTAATTAAACATATCTTTTTTTTAATTTGTAGGCTGCAGTTCCTAAAGTATTCACATTACAAATGCTGTCACCATCTGGTTCGGTATTACCGCCGGGTGGTATTATAACGCAAGAAATGCGTGTTGTTAGTACGTCCAATGTGAGTATGGTTGATGGTATGAATACTTGAAATTTTACTAAAATTTTACTAATTCCTCAGGCTATCCTCCGCATGAGGTTACGCATATCATATTTTGTCGATGGCCAACCTGTGGTGGAGCAAACAGAAGTAACTGGATTCCCGGATGCAACACCCGAATAGGGGTCAAAATATGAATAATAATAATAATGAAATTTGCAGTATAAGCTTATAAAATGTTAATAGAGCGTTTAAGGAAATGAAAACAAACATAAAAACTATCGCAACTAAAATTAAATATAAAAATATATATATATATAATAAGAAAAACATTTTACCCTCCCTCTGTTCCCTCCTTTAACCCGAATTCTCCTACTTTCGTACAAGTATACATGTGTTCTTCGTAAATTACATTAACAAACGATATATATATATATATTCTTTATAACAATATATATATATTTTGTAATATAAATTTAACGAAGTAATCAGTAAAGACAGTCTAACTGATCTAAATATAAATTCACACACACATACACCCATACACACATTCAAACAAAAAAAAAACAACTCCTCTAGGGGGCAGTATAGTCAATCAAATATAATATATACATACTTACATACATTCTCTTCAGTGAATTTTTGTAAATTTGAACATGGCACCACAAACATACATAATTAATTGTCTTATCATGTATTTAAAATATGGATGAAAATCATGGAAACATGGTAAACAAAAAGGATAATTAGCAACAAAAATAAAATTAAATGTAATAAAATATTTTAAGTGCAAACACACCACACTAAGCTATCTATGTTAGTTAAACTATTCTGGTCTGAAGTGTAAAATTTTCGTTGTTGTATTCACCGCTGATTTGTTTGCAAGAACTATGTGTATTGTATTGAGAGTAATCGTGAGAAGAATGCCCATTAAATAGATTAATATTCAGTTATGAAATATAAACGTTTTGTTACCGTTATTTGGCAAAGTTGTATAAATATGGATGCATATAAGCAAAAAATAATCAAACCCAATTTTTTTTGTCTACAATTGTTTTTTTTAACTATATTTTATTGAACTTTTTACAACTGGGCTTTAAATAAATAAAATGCAAATGCTAGTAAACCACTAACGGCTAAATTGACATGTAATTGATAACTGTATTTTAGTTTTAAACTACGCAAAGAAGAACGGAGCTACTTGTAACAATATACATACATATTACTTAATATATTTATTTTTTAGTTTTGTTTTTTGTTTTGAATCTATGAATGTATTTAACGTTTTTAAAATAACTGGCGGCTTAATTAATAATCAATTTTAATTTTTTAATAAATTATTTTTGCTTCTATTGCTTATTTGGTCCTTATTTTACTCATGTTCGAACGCTTCTCATTTATTGTTTCTATTTTATTATGATAACCCTCAATTAGCATAAGGAAAATGAGTTTTAAAAGCGCTAAAGTACTTAAAAATATTATAAATAATAATAAAGATTGATTTATATATATACATATATATATATAAACGCAAACATACATATATATTTTAGAGCAGTGCACGGGATGTAAGTAAAAAAAGTGAGTTATTGCATAAATGAAAATAATAATGAACTAGGTAATAAACACATTTACATATATATATATATATATATAAACAAGTATATATATAAATAAATTAGTTACTTGCAGATATAGTTATATAACAATAAAAATACTACATAATAAATAAATATATGCATCAAAAAACTTATACAGACATTAATAATATTAATATTATTATTATTATTAAATATAATAATATAGAAACGAAACATTTTATGATTTCAAATGTAAGATCAAATAAAAAAGTTTTGTTTTAATAAAAAAAAAAAAATTATTTAAACTATGCCCGGCAAAGCTTTTCTGTGTTAACGCTTTTCTGAAATGACTTGAATCGTTTCAAAGAGCCATTGAGTAGACCTAATGATACCTTAAGTCTGTCATAGGCTCCATCTGCAGATCGTTTATGTGATAAGAATCAATTAACACAACTCCAAGCATTCATAGGTTTAAGGCACTTCGGTCCTTTGACTCGAAATTTTTACGGCCAAAATTTGTTACGCACTCGGTGATCTTATAATTTATTTTTATTTATTTTTAATTTAGGTTTTTGTGGGAATATTGCGGAACGTTCCGGTATAAAGTCTTAACTGTCGTAAATACTTTTTATTTTAGACACCTCTTATAACAGGCGTTAATTCCTTCCAAATCCTAGCTTTCCAAAAAGTCATTTGTCTTCATTAACTTTCGCACATTACCGATTCTAAATTAGAATTTTTAAAATTATTAAGCTAATAAATAAAAAACCTCCGATATCTCCGTTTACGTATAAATCAACTAAAATACCCAATCGATAGTTATCGATAGCAATAGCACTGATGATCATCGCTAGTCATATGGAAATGTCATATCAAAACGGAAACGGCGAAAGTTGACAAAAGAAGGAACAGCAGGATTACAAATGTGAAGTGGTGAAAGGAGTGTTGGCGAAGAAATATAAAAAAAATTGAGTTTTTCGTAAAATTAATTGATAAAATTTGTAGACATTTATAATTCAACTAATGCATACTAATATTTAATTCATTTGAAAATAAATTATCCGATATACAAATTAAACTCTTTGATTAAGAAAAGAATTTGAAAACCAAAGCGGAAGTGCACAAATAGAGATAAGAACGAAATTTTTACGCTGACGGCACAGCAACAGCCACCTCATATACAGCAACAGTTGCTGCTGCAGCAATCTGCATGGCTTTATGGAAAAGTAGCCGCTCAAGCTAATTAAATTTTGTGATTTCTTTGCCTTTTCTATATATTAGAGGCTATTGGCTGGCGTATTGCCATTGTTTAGCCAACATGAGTTCAGCTGTAGATATACAAATTGTATCGGCACCAAATTTGGATAAGATCGAGAATTTCTTCAAGGATGTTTCGTATCGTGAAACCATCGAATTTAGTGCAAATTTCAATACACGCTTGTGTTTAGAACGGCGTCTGCGTTTACCATTTTTTGATCCACAAACCCGTGTTGCTCAGAATCATTCGCACCTATTCGTGGATAAACGACAACGGATGCCGGGCTTCCGTCAAGGACAAATATACACATATCCATCAACACGTTGGCGAAAGAGCCGGCGTCAATATTTGAATAAAATGTACCGGTAAGTCTTATTAAATTACTTATTATATTGTAAATTAAAGTTTTTTTTTTTGGAAATTTTAATATTTATTTATTACAGATTTCCCGATCGGCCATTTCAGGCTCTGCGCAAAGAACATGAAGCATATTCTGTTGCTGGCACAGCGTCACCGTTAGTTGCTTCGAGTCTTGCGTCGACACTCGACTCCGATTTGAATGGTACACTCCTAGATGAGTCATTGTCTCTGGGTGCAGCTGGTGGTGACACTTCCGATAGTAAAGATAGTCAACAATTAGCTGCGCAGCAGCAACAACAACAACAACAACAGCAGCAACAAGCAATTAAAGAAGACATGTCAAAAGAATGGTTTTATGATGATATGGAAATGAATGAACTCGATGGTATCGAAGAACCCAAATCACCTGCAGATGATGAATTCGATTATGATCCACGTTACGGTAGTAAAAAACGACGAAAGCGTAGACCAAGTAAACGTGCCCTAGCTGCGGCTGAAGGTGTCGGTAGTGCTGGTAGTGGTGGTGGTGGCGGTGGTGTTGGACGTCGTCGTACAGGTGGACATCGGGGTCGTACTTCGGCGGCAGCTGCTGCCGCTGCAGCTAATACAACTGATGCTTCGCACTCCACCTTAGACACAACGGATGGCAATAGCAGTAGCTTAACGGGTGACATAACCGCTACACCAACATCAACGACTAGCAGTGGACGTCGACCGCGTGGCACGGGTGGTACACGTGGACGACGCCGTACGAAGGCTAATAATTCAAATGTCTGTGATCCACCAAGTCCGGGATTAAATAGTGAGCCACCGTCCTTTGAAACTGCTGCAGCATTCGCTGGCGTAATGGGTGACCTGCCGGGTGTGGGTGAGGAACAAGGCGATTTAAGGAATTATCGTAAGTTTCTGTAACAGAGTGACGAAAGTGTCAGCTGCATAAACCGACGAAGTGGTGATGGAAATGAAAAATATGAAGCTACAAATTGTTTGTTGGATATTTAATTGTTAAAAAGTTGTACATGTGTGTACATACATACGTATATGTGTGTATACATTTATAAGTTGTGTCATTACGTTGCATGACAACCAATTACCTAATAACGGTTATTTTATTGTTGGCTCATACGATGTTATCAATACCTTAATATTAAACTATGAACTGGATTTTTTAAATTTGATTTCTAATTGACAATGAATTGAACGCGTTCAGCTGCAGAAGAATTGAATATAACTTTTTTTATATATAAATATAATTTTTTTTTAGCTTTAGATTCAAATAATTTGTATATCTGATATTAGTGAAATGCATTTAAATTCTATACCAAAGCACAATTATTAAATTTTTCACAAAAATAATACATAATTCTTTGGACAAAGGGTTTAACCGAGAAAATTTTGTACGTACATACATACAAAAATAGTTTTCTATTATAACAATCCAATATGATTTTTTGTTTTTAAATACATTACAATACGATTTGTATTTTATTTTTTTTTATAAACACCTCTAACTAATATTAGAATTGTTATTCATATTAAAAACTTACAAAAATATATTAGGTTAGGTTAGTCTAACCTATAAAAATATTGAAAATACCACAAGTTAATAGCAACATAAGAAATTACGGTATATTTTCTTGTTCTACCAAACGCAATAGCAGAGATCAATAGCTAATTTTGTTTTATATTATTATTAAAATTTTTTGTTAATAATCCCACACAATATATAATTTATAATATATATAGTTAGTATAATTAAGATTTTTTTTTACTTTGAACAAACAATTGCGTACTTCATGTACGCATATGCATGTTGATGTATATGTATATGTATAAGAAATAGCCTGAATTGTTTATTATATTAAAACGATATTTAAATTTATACACAAACATACATACATATACAAAATGGTTTCTATTGTATGAATGAAATTTGCTTGTACAAATATGCAATACAAATACATATGTACATATATATTTAACAATTTTTAATGCGATTTTACAAAATCAACTTGGGACCTTATTGGTGTATAGTCCGCAAAGCGGGGAAATAACATAATTAAACAAAAAAATTATATTCGCCTACAAAAGCTTTAGAAATAAATATTCTATAATAATTTTATGTAATATAAAATTTCGCAATATTTTTTTAATCCATCGTATCAGTGCTAATACATATAGACGCGTTCAAATATTTATTTATACTTCTCAGTGTGTAATTACTTTTCACTCTTTTACCGTTAATCAATATATACAACAAAAAAAAATTGTGTACAAAATAACAATCAGTAATACAAGTTTTTATATTTGCAAATAAATAATTATTTCCTTTTAGAAAAATCATAACTGTTTATATACTAACTTTATTCACTGGCTGTAAATTTAATTATTTTCGAAAGTCAAAAAAAACCCAAGAAAATATTTAATTGTATCAATTATGATGGACATGCATGTATGTACATACATACATACATATGTACATAAATGTAGTGTTTTTATGGAAATTAAATCAAACAAAATTTAAAATATTAGAAATTAAATGTAATTAAAAAATTTGTACACAAATTATATACTTAAAAAAATAGTATGCACTCATTTAGTTGTATGTAAATAAAGAAGAAAAAAAAAATGAATAATAAATGACAAGTGGATTTAGTGCATTTCAAAAAATGTAATTAGCAATGAGTGTATTATGTGAGTATGTATGTATTGATCTGACAGACGATCCCGTGGAGGTTTCAGTCCTGTCAGAAAACCGCCTTGCGAGCCATGACAGAAAATCACCTCTTATCGCTCCCACGCCACCTGTGTAAGCATAGATTGCCCTTAGATCAGATACCAGCCTATTGGTAGATCAAAAAGGCAGTAGCCGGGTATTCGGACGCCATACTCGTTATAGTACCGTTAGACCTCATATGCTACCGAAGGCCTTAAATTCCATTCACAGATCAACATGTAACCTGTCGACCTAAAAGGCGCTGTAACCTCTCCTCTGGGTTAACAAAGCGCTGTATCACAGTCGAATTGCTGTTAAACCTGACGAGATGCGATCGATCATTTGGAAATTTCATTCGGTAATTGCACCTTATCGGATCCAAGGAGGTGCGCTAGCCATTTTAGTTGACTTTCTACACTGCACCATTCGTTTGACGAAATGAAGCGGCAAGTGACCCGCCGTGTACGTAAACTGCCAAACACCAGCCCGACACATGATTTCTTCAAGAAAGAAGTTCTGGCGGTGATCGGGAAGGTGGAAGCACTCATATCCATCGGCCCCGGCGGAAAGAGTATGATGGGGCTAAAATGTCTAGGACCAGACCAGGCAGCAGACTATCTCACCAAGGTCTCCAATTTGTCTCTGACCTCCCTAAAAATATACAATATGTGGTTAATGGGTGGGCTGTTCCTGCCACTAAACCGCAACATGACTTCCGTAAAGTGCACAGCACTACAACTTGAAAGAGTGTAGTACCATGGGATAACTGAGTTCAGAGCTGCAACCAAATCGTCAAAGCGCAAGCCGTCAGCACCTGGGGAAAGGTAAAAAAAAACCTTGCGGTCAACATTAATTATGCTACTTCGATCTAGGCGCCGGGGACTGGCGAGACGCAGATGAAGAAGCTATAAGCCTACGAAACCAACGCGACACACATGGAGAGTCCATCAACACCTACCTGATCTTTCTTCTAGTGAATGGCGTTTTTGGAGTCAAACGACCAACAATTGTAGACAAAGAGCTCGAGCTGCGTCGCCTGCTTCTAAATGGGATTGGCGAGCTGGAATTAAATCACCACTTATAGTAGACACAACGCCTACCTATTCGTCAGATATACGACATACCCAACTTATAATGTGAATACGTAGGTGCCCCATGCTCCATTCTTATCAAATACATCTGTTCTTTGACGACATCGAGATTACATATAATAACAACAAAAGCCAAATCAATTTGTAATTTCAATCTAAAACCCTTTGCCCTAAGCTTTAACCGACATAGACGATTTTAAGCTCGCGGCCGAAGCAGAGACACGGCTTTGAGATGCTTGAATCTCCCTTACACGGCCACACATAACCGAGTTAGCCGCAAGTACTGACAGAATAACTGCCAGAGGATCTGGATTTCTGTGAAGATTAAACCAATTGAAAGTAAGAAAACCCATTTCTCCTTTAAACTAAAGAGGCAGTCTTGCAACTGCCGCTAGAGAATCCATTGGCGCCAGTGTGGTTATCTGCAAGGCAGTGAGATTATAATATGCAGAGTTCACCTACCTTGCCTGCCATCGCATATGCTTAGAGCCACATAGGGAAGAAGTGGCCTAAACAATAAGTATTACTTTTTGTTGCTCATTTAAAAGTGGAACGTTTCTTAGAAAGGTTTCTTTTACCGTCTCGTAATCGCATACTGCGGGAAACCCGTCTCACCTCTTGATTAATGAGTGGGTTGAGAGGTAGACAAAAACCCTGCAATTTAACCCCCCACCTTCAAAGGATAATATCATATAACAGTACCCTCCAATTTGGTCGAAACATTTAGCTGGAGGGAATTTAGAATGCCTGCAGAAGGGTTGCTGCGCCAAAACTGGATCGCTAGTATTAAACCTATAGAGCGGGTGCAACGTTCCTGTTACAGTTAGCTGCCTAAATGTCCTAAATAGTGAGATCCAACCCACCAACTTTAAAGGTATACAGAGAGCTATAAGTGAACTCGAGATGAACGGGCAGTGCAGAGACTGAAAAAATGGACCCCCCCGACAAGCACAACCTATCTACTCCTTTCCAAGCAGGAAAGAATGGGCGGAAGGCTAAGTGGAAGGCTAGGCTATCGGTAATACTGCAAATATTCATATATCTGTACTGTGGACTCTGCTAGTAAGCAGGCGATCTTCTGTGACTACCCCAATAGCCAAATTAGCTTTTAACTAAGTGACTAAAGTTATGTCCTCCAAGAAGAGATTGTGGACGTTACTGATAGTGATAGATTTGGAAACGGCTTTAACTGGGGAATCTATGAGATTCCTTGTAGTCAGCCAAGCCGCCTCCGAAGGGCTGATGGTTTTTTTACGAGGAGCCTTTATTTCATATCAGAAATACACTCGGGGTGGTTGACATTTCCTGCCGAGGGGCGATCGGAATATGAAAAATTTTCTCTATAACTTTTGCATGTTGCTCGTACCAGGATTTGAGTCCGAGGCTTCCGAATGGCAGTATGCAATGCTAATTACTCAGCTATCGCGGCCACCGCGGCTTAACACATTGAATATTACTTCGGCCACAGATTACACCAATGTAGAAGGTCATGAAAAGGCCAAGGAACTAGCTCGCGCTGGCGCAGCTGAGGAGGCAGTCACAATCAACTTCCTCAGACCTTTCAGAGCCTGAGAATGTAGAAGATCATTAAAAGGCCGAGGAACTAGCACGCGCTGACGCCGCTGAGGAGGCAGTCACAATCAACTTCGTCAGACCTTTTAGAGAGTTCGAATGCTGTTTACAACAATGGAATCTGGGAGAACACTTAAGGTACTGGAGCAACTCCAACGATAGGCGTACTACAACTGAACTGCTGTGCGACGATGTAGTTTATGAAAGATGAAACTTTTGCTCCCCCACAAAAGAGCACTTACCATTCTTGTAGGTATACTGGCAGATCATCTACCACTAAGAAATCATCGCCAAAGGCTATGGTAAAATTGAATAGGAATGAGTGTAGAGCTTGCACAGGGAAGAACGAAACGCTGAAGCAACAGCTTTGCGAGTGCCCATCCTTCAGTCGATTTAGACGTGAAGTGTTCCACGGTGTTCGGTGCCCAAACCATATTGAGATAGGTATGCATGTTTGGAAGAATTTAAAACAATTTATTAAGCCAAGTGAACTGTTCGCAAAATCATAATTGGGATAGGCAGGGGTACACAACAAGCCTTCACAATGGACTAGGTTTTTTTTTCGGTTGGAATCGGTCCCATGAGCAGTCTACGAAAAAAGGGGATTTTTGTTATAAGACTCTTCTACTACATAACAATAACAATATGAACATAATAAACAAAGAATTCACGAAATCGATACAGCCATTCACGCGTGATGCCGTGACCAAGGGAAAAAGGGACTTATTTTTATAGACAGATATTTTAAAACCTCGCATATTTGCCCTTAACGCATCTAAATTTGAACATTTGATAATAAAAATTAGAAAAGAATTATCCAAAAAAAAAAAAATTATTTAGCACAAAAATGTGAGGAGAGCTCCCTTCAATCTGCCTGCCACGCATGCAGAAGCCAAGAATCCCAAGGGGCTGTGTGCTAAATAAATTGCGAAAAATGCGGTGACAAAATTCTCAAGCATCTCGTAAATCTTTACGAATGCATTAGAAAAGCATATACATATGTATGTATGTATGTATGTGTGTATGTATGTATGTATTTGTGTACGCAACAAATAGAACATTTTTCATCTGGTTGTACGCTTGCAAAATAGCTTGGACGCCACAAACTGATCATCAACATAATTCTTACTCTAACATTTCTGGCATTCAAATGAGATATTTACAGCTATACGAGGGGATTAATAAAAGTTCGGTAAGTTGTCCAGAAAAAAATCAAAAATTCTTCTTTTATCTTCTCCACATAATCTCCACTGATTTCAATGCATTTCTTAAGCCTATAGGACCACTTCTGAAAACAGTCTTCAAAATCTTGCTTTTTGAGCTCATCAACAACCTTTCCCATCAATTTTTTTTAATATTTGAAATAACCAGAAAGCAAAAGATGCCAAATCCGGGGAATATTGTGCTGGACGTGTCTCTTCGGTCCCAAAGGTGGCAATAAAATGACTCGCTATTTTAGCAGTGTGGAATGACGCGTTGTGCTGATATAAAAAGTAGCGCCGCAAATCCTCTTTCTTCCTGTTTTCCAACAAATTTTTGAAAACTTTTGGTAACTACTCTTCGGTGTATCCTTTTGTAGTTACCGTCTGACCCTGCCCCAGTTGAATAGCAGCTACGAGTTTAGATCGGGCGAAGTAAACTGACATCAAAACTTTTGCTGCTGATTTTTGTTGCTTCAATTTTACGGGTGGGTTTGCTCCGGTTGGGCTCCATACCATGGACGGCTGTTTGGTTTGTAGACCGTTCTTACAAAACCAAGATTCATCACCAGTATCGACCTGACTAAAGTTGCTAGACTGGCCATCTTCCAATTTTTTTTAACAAAAATTGAGCAAAATGCACACGAGCGTCTTTTTGGGCCTCATTTAAAATTCGTGTATCCCAGATGATTACTTAATATTCGCAATACAACCATGGTATTTGAGCCCAATTCATCAATCAATCATTTCTTGTGTCAATCGTGGGTCTTCGTCAATTTTGGACTTCTCCAGAGCTATAATGACGAC